AAGGCCTTGGGCTGGCTCCAGGGAGGATGCTCCTCTGCACGGCCCCTGCCCAGCTTGTCCCAGGGAGAAGGGGGTGGCTGGGGACAGCAGCTCCCAATGGCCTGGTGACAGGAGGTAAACTCCAGCTGCCGGTAGGACCCTGGCCCTCGGCTCCCCATCCCTCATCCCAGTCCCAGTCGGGATCCCGGGTCAGGTCTACACCTCTGGACAGACGGACAGACAGACAGACAGCTGGGACTTACAGAAATCTCATATGTGGCTTCCTTTCCATTTTTACTGAGCAGAATGAAAAATTATTCTTCTGAGGCAAGTAGAAAATTCAGGAATTATTAGTCAAAGGCACATATTCTAAAAAAAATCTCTTTACATATATACATCTCAATTAATTATAAATACACATAGAAAAACAAAAGGCAAACAACAAGCAGATTAAAAAGTGCTAACAAAAAGGTGTAAGGGAAGAAAAAAGGGACTCATTTAAAAATACATACAATCAGTAGGACAACTGCATAATAATTTAGTTAAAAGATATTGTTACATATTATTAACCCTGACAAAAACACAGGATCGGGGCAGGGAAGGGCTTCCTTGAAGGTGCGCTCTGTCTTTCCAGGGATCAGGGAGGGAGAATTGCATATATTTTAAAATTAATGTCAAAGCCACCAGGTAAGGCTCCGGGTGACGGTGGAGAAGTAGCTGGCAGAGGGTGCCTGGCGGGAGAATTCCTCCTCGCTATTCCTGAGTTTAAGCCTCTCTGAAATGTGTTTTCCCGGTGTCCTTTTCTCTCCTTGCTGAGAATTCAGCAAGCACGAAATGAAGAAACCAGGACGTGGGCGAAGCCAGGGCCTCTCCACGAGTGGTGTGGACTGGGACATACTTTAAATAGAGGAGGGTCTGGCAAAGGGGAGAGCCTTGCTCTGTTCAGGACTAGGAAAAGGCTTTTGAGGCACCCTGAGAAAGCGGCGATCCCCGGGCGGCCCCACAGTGAGAGGCGAGCACG